GGTGAGTTGGGGGGGTGCCCAGCACCCTGTGTGGCCATGGGGCTGTCTGCTTCCCTGCACCCACTCCCTGTCCCTGGCCGGGCCAGGGACAGAGATTCATTTAACTCAATTACCACTCAGGCCCTGGGGTGTTGGCGCGGCTCGTGCCCTTCCTCTGCCGTCCCTTGGCAAGGTGTCCTGGCAAGCCCTGCCGAGTGCCGTGCAGGGTCCTGCGAGGTGCTCAGAGGAGATGTCTGATGCCACGTGCTCGTGGTCTCCTCCGGAATCCCCTGCCACCTTTTGAATGCACAACCCCAGCTCCTGCCTGCTCCCGGTGGTCTCCCTGTGGGCAATGCCTGGGATGGTGCTGTGCCACGCAGCTTGCCAGCACTGCCCGACATCGGCTGCCCCACAGCCCTTTGCTGGGCTGCAGGCAGGGCTACGGAGAGGCAAAGTCCCCACAAGCACCACAGCCTGGCTGTCTCTCCTCTGGGAGGGAAGCCTGGATGTCCCTTCACTTTGCATGGCACCGGGGAACGCCCCTCCTGTGGCTCCCGGCAGCTTTAGCATGGCTTTCTTGTTAAATTTTAATGAGAACAAATGAGCTGGCATGGGTTGTCGCTGCGGGTGCATTGCCTGGCTGTGTGCCGGGCACTGACTCCACATGGCTGCCAGGATGGCAAAGGCTTTGCAGAAGGCTGGTCGGTCCCAGGGCGATGCTGGAAGTGATGTTTCTCCCTGGGGAGAAGCCCCAAGGGGTGAAAAGCCAGGCAGTGGCCCCCTGCTCATGGCAGCCATCAGGTCGGGACTCTGCCTGTCGGTGGGGGGGCCAGGGGAACACATCCTGACCAGGCGAGGTGGGAGAGCTGGTCTGCATGCAAGTCCTTGGAGGCCAGGGTGGAGATGGGTGCCCCCCACACCATGCTTTGGGGGTGCTGGGCTGTGGTTCCCCTTCATGCGCCTGACACTGGCATGGAGTCTACAGGCAGGCGAGCAATAAGATGCCTCTGGGATGGTTTTTCCCCTGCTTGGGGCCAGCCCAGTCTCATCAGCATTTCCCCCAGTTGCTCTCCCAGTGGAGCTGGTGCTGGGCACCCACGTGGGCACCCAACCAGGCACCAGGACAAGAGGGTACCCTGGGGCACAGCACTCTTTGGTGCCACCACTGCAAGCTCCAGCTCACCAGGCCTGGCCATGGCAGGCTCTGGGGCCATGTGCATGGGTGCCGATGGTGAGGGAGCTGTGCCACCCTTGAAGGGAGCCCCAGATACTTCTCTCCTGCAGTGTGCTGGCCCTGTCCTGCACAGGAAGGGACTAGCTCTGGCCTGGGGAAGCAGCCCCATAACCAGCTCACCCTCTAGGGAGGGGGTTAACGCTCTGGGAGCACCCCATCTCTGCGAGTACCGCCCCCCCCCAAGACTCTGCCCCAATGCTTTTCCTCCTGAACCTGGTCTGACCTCACTCTAAAAGCATCAACAAACAGGAAAGGAGCCTGGGAGGGAGGTGTCTCTTCCTGCCCCAGTGACGTGGTGATGGCAGCTGGTCCCAGCCTGGATGGAGCTGGCAGCTCCAGCCTCCTCCATTGGAGCTGAAGGGGGGTGCCAGGCCTGGGTACCCCAGGACCAGGACCCGTGCAGGGACCTATAGCACTGGAGGGGGAGTCATATCTGTGCAACAGAGTTTCCTGGTTGTTCAGGGCATCCTTGTGCCCTAAAAAGGGAGTTGTGGGGCCGGGAGGTGCTGCCGGCTGCTGGGGCTGGCATGGGGGGCAGGTGGGTCTGTCACGCTGCCCTGTGGGAGCTGGACTCCCGTGGGCAGTGAGGCATCCTTGGTTCCTGTGTGGGAATGACATCCAGCGTCTTTGGAGAGCCCTGCGAGGAAGCCCTGCCTGAAGCCAGCCCCTCCAAGGCTTTGGAGACCCAGATGACAAACTGGGGACATTTGAGCAAGGAAACCCTTTTCCCAGCAGTTTCTGGGTGCTGCAGGGTACCCAGGGGCATGCACCAGGGACGCATGCTGTGGGAAGTCCACAGCAAAGTCACGGTGGTTTGAGATATATAGAGATATATATATATATATA